TAGCTGGGCATAAAATTTTATTTTATTTTATCAATGAAAGGAAACTTTAATTTCAAACACAAGGAGATAGAAAAAATTATACATTTTCACAGATTTTCCGACAAGCAAACAGAAGAAAAAAAAATCCAACTAGCAAACAAAAGAAAAACATGTGTTAACTGGAGAAAGGTAACTATTGTTGATTATGTGATCGTTAGTAAGGGGGTGGGGGTATGTAATATATAAAGATGTCGATAAACGTGGTATCTTAGAAATTGCTTTACTAAAGCAATATATGTAGCTAAGCTCTTTATTTCAACTAACAACCCAAAAATACAAATGTGTGGTGGTTCTTATCCGGAGGACAGAACCCGTGACGCTTGGGTAGCCGAGTAACATAACCACTAGACAAAAGTGATCACCTCTGTCCGGAGGCTGTTACTGACGTAGATACCTCTACGGATTCCCCCCCCATGTAGAAATCTTCTCTGGACATTTCAAATTATTCTCTTTTAACACCTTTTATGGTGATCAACGGCCTTGAACTGGTTTTACTCGGTGCCAAGCACACCTAGAGCAATACAATTGGCGTAGTCATTAAAATAAAAAACTCAGATAAAATTAACAGATTTTATCAGTAATTAAATTTTAGGACACACGTGTATGAGTAAAGTTATTGGTTATAAAATAATGTATGTTTAAAACTTCTTGTAGGCAGTAGGAAATGTCATTAAAATTGATTAATTTTAATATAAAATTATATTTTCTCTAAGTTTGAAAATACAGTGTATTCCTGGATATTGGCGGCCCCCCCGGGTGTTTTTTTTCAGTTTTTTTATTTTTTTTTGAGGGGTAAGATATATGAAGTAAATAGATATTAATTTACAAAAAAATGTGAATAATTACTTTTTTTAAAAAATAATATATGGTGTTTAGTTAGCAATGTGGCGTGGTTGGTTTTTCGCTATTCAATTTCATGATTTGAAGCTAATAATAAACTGCCATTATTGAAACACATGATGTGTATTGTTTTCCATGCAATGCTACAATGCTTGTGGGAAAAAGGATATTACAGAGAAAGTAATCTTCCGAGTATTCAGCACAGTTAGCCGACTGGGTGGTGAAGTTGGTTTGTCGCTGTCTCTATGCACCTGAGGTTGCGGGTTCGACCCCGGCCCAAGTCGGTGGATTTTCATGATGTAAAAATTCGACATCGGCCATGTCGTTTGATTATACGGCATGAAAAAAAACTCTCGATTACCTGTTTGGCTTGGTGCTCTCGGCAAAATTAAAATCTTAAGTAAGCTTTCGCATCGCCAGAGCTCAGGTGCCTCCTCCTGGGGAGTATGCGCCAAAATTACTTGCAATAATTGGTATCAACTATATGGTGCCTTACTAAAAAATGATACCAGCTCCTGGGGAATGTACTAACTCTGCAAAGATTAAATACCAATGCTGAGCCTTATTAGAGAAGAAGATATAGTGCTTATATATATATGTATTTAAAATTTGTTTTATGGGGTGCCTAAATTACGTTAAGAGGTGTTGGAAAGCTAAGACTTATTTTTTTGACAATTTGAGATTTTTGCATTTTCAAATTGCATAGGTTTTTACCTTTCTCAAAATACCTTACTTTAACCTCTAGGGTAACTAGAAGCCCTTAAAATCTATTTTTAAGAAATCGTTGAAACTGGGCCACGCCCATTTGAATGGCGATAAATGTAAACAAAGTACTTCGTTTTTGCTCAAAAGTTGAACCTCTGATATGAACCAAAACATTTATCTTTTATTGTAAATTGAGGCTTTTACTTTTTTATTTCCTAGCCGATTAGAAGTCTCACTGTATACATTAAAATCAATTTATCTCAAAATGTAAATTTTGATGTTCGATGTACCTTTTATGAGAAACTACTTTTCACAGGTATGTAAATTTTTTATTATATATTTATAATGATGGCTAATAAATACTAAAATGAGCTTTTTTTAAAAAAATCTCAAAAATTCATTTATTACAAAAAAAAAATTTTATGTGAAGAATTGGTCAAATTTCACCATGTTTGATAAAATATTTTATAAATTATGAAAAAATTCAAAATCAGCTAAAAGCTCATTTCAGTATAATGAGAAAAGGTACACTTTAATTGTATGAAAAATTTCAGGCATGGACATATAACAGATTTTGAGAAAAGATACATCGAAAACAGACAATTTAACATCTATCTAACATCTATCTAATCTATTTCTACATATTCCACATTTTACGCACAAAGCAAACACAGTATTGGTTGTTAAAACCATCTTCCAATGCACATACGTGGCTTAATTAAATACTCCCGACTGCTTTCAATTCAACCCTTGTTTACTGTTTCACTGCAAAAGCGAGATGTAACGCTGGAAATGGATTTCTGCACCATGTTGCAGATAGGAGGGTGTTTTCCTGGGGTTATTGGGGAATGGTAACACCAGATGCACGCAGCAATAGTTCAAATTGTTTGAGGCAATGAGTTGGTAACCATCAAATGCCAAAGTAATGCACACATCAAAGGTTAAGCAAATCGGCTGTTAATGGGGAATGTACGGTGCTGGGGCGATTTATGGGGATAGTAAAATCCCTGTACAGTGAGTGAGTTTAGAACATGAAATAATGTAGAACGTTTTGACAGTTTCGTAGTTTCTAAATGGCTGTTTGGAGATTTAGATTATGAAGATTTGCATAGAAATTGAGAATATTAAATCAAAGATGATATTTCTCGCACTCACGTCGGTCAATGTATTTTAAAATTTTTTTACTTCCATATTATAAATGAATAAAATTACGGTTTTTCCGGAATACTTGTATGATCTTTATTATAGGATTTTAAAATCAAGCTATGGAAAATCAAATTAAGCAAGCATATTACCTACTCATTGTTGAAAGTTTCAAAAAGCATGCAATTCTGAAAAATCGTTCATGCATTAAAAAAAAATGTTAAAAAAAAGTTCTTCAAAGAAGATTTAAAATTTTAAAAAAAATCTTATTTTATGCATGTGTTTTTAAATAAAACGCATTTTGTATTTCAATGTGCATAATTGTTGTTGACAAATATGTACTTTTTAAGAGAAACTTTCTGCAATGAGCAAAGGTTGGCAACAATGAAGCGCATGATCTGATTGCCTGGAAACAAATGATTGCTTTCATCGTGTGACTATGACGTCACTGATTGATTGATTGAATATTAACGTCACACTGTTCAGCTACACGAGGGCTTTTGGTGTCGGACCACGTAATTTTGAACCATGGTCAAGTGACGATGTGGACGACACCTGAGCTGGCACCCCCTCTCCTAACTACCACACCACACCAACGGGAGGACGTTTCAGCTCTCGACAGATTTAACGTGCCTCGCTGCCCTACACGGCGGATCTTTAGTAATACTGGGCTCGAACTCGTGACGAGGCAAGCCACGATCCGATACCTATACCACTCGGCTACCGCGGCCGACTATGACGTCACATGCAGTTTTGAAGTGATTGTTTAGAAGCACGGGGTTATCATTATCAAGTGACAATGACGTCACATGAATTTAGACCATTAGTATTAATAGTGGAAAAAAAATTTTCTCCTTAAAAAGGAACTCATACTTTTCATGCTCTCTCGTCATTTTTTTTTCCAGCTCCTTAAGGAATTCTAACGGATATATTATTTTTCTGAAAATATCTGATGAAAACACGTTCGTAAGCCATGATGATACTCACTTTTCACTTTTCGCGACACATGTTACATAAGAAGAAATGCTTAACTTTTGATTTGAGTTTTTTTAACCAACCCTTACAGGACCATAAGTTTGCTACGAAAAATATTGGAAGGTAACCGTTATTTTAGTTTGCTTGTAAAATAAATAAAAACTATAAATATATATATATATATGGCAGTTTGTAGTTTTATTGGGGGGGGGGCCGGCTTTTTGAAAATAGATTTCCAAAGAATCTTTTGTCATTATGAGGTCTTTTCTTCAATTTTTTCAAATACGATTTATTTTTGCTCAACATTTTTCTTACCAAAAAAATATAAAGCATCTCCGAAAAATATTAATGCAGCATTAGACAGCATAATATATTAAAAAAAGTAACATGATTAAGAAAACAGTTTGTGAACGTTTTAGCACATAGGTACCGATTTGACAATTCCTCATTTTTCCTAACTTTCCAATTTTCGTAATTTCTTTGGGCATACGTTCTATTGTCACATTCTGCATAAAAAAGTAGTATAATTTTTTTTAAAATTCAATTCCAACTTAGGTCAACAAAGAAACATTTTAATATTTTATAGCTACTCTTTATTAAATAATTACAATCAATATAATTATGTATATACTTATGACAGAATCACACTATTAAGTGGCGAAGTGCAAAAGGATTTTCCTTGCAATTTTCCATTTTCAATTCTATGTAGGATATGGGACTATTATGTTTATTTGTTAATATTTATCCATTAATTAAATTTAATTATTCTCGTTCCCTTCGAACGAGATGACTTATTCTCTTGCCAATGAAGCCACAACGCTTGAGCCTCTAACTTTATCTACTACGGTCTTTGATGCCAACGCAGTAGCAAAACAAAAACTCTGCTCAAACCCAAGAAAAAAAAACATCGCTGCCAGAATCAAATTATTGTCGAGAAATTACGACAACAGTAACTAGACTAAAAGGACAAAGCATTTTCAGGGCCTGAAGATTCTGCCCTATGGTTCCAGATCATAAGTGGAATGCAGGCACGCAACTGGAACCCAAACACCTTTTTAGCCCTCTTTCCATTGTTGGTGCTTTTTCAAAATAGACAATGAATGCATGAGACAATTCTTTACTCAGATCGTGGCATGGATGTTGCTACGGCAATGATTCACGCATTTGGCAATCTCTGACTATATCCTTATATGTTTTATTATTGCAACCTCTACACTTTGTCATACACGACAACAACAACAACCATTATTCCAATAACATAGTATACTAAAATGAAATCATATTCTCAGAAATTAGGCCATCCCAGGTGGGATTCGAACCCACTACCTTTGGATTAGAAGTCCAACGCGCTATACATTGTGCTCCAGGGACACAACGAGTGATTTGCCTTTTTATTTTGGGTGTTGGACTATTATTTTGTTTTGTTACTATTTAATCATTAATTAAATTTAATTAATCAATGTATATTGTAAAAAAAAACTGTATTAACATCAAGTGCCATCCACTACAATTTTAAAAAATATTTATTTGAACTTGAATGGATGTATAGAAAGTATTTTTTAACGATTGATAATTTGAACAAGGTATATATATATATGGGGGTGAGTGAAGTAATTGTAGGAATTGAAAAAGTGCAGATAAGGGGTTACAATTAACTACGATAATCACCAATTTAAAACGGGAAGAAATGTTTCCCTCAGTCGAAAAGGCGTTAACTCCACATTTTGAATTGACCAGAGGGCTACTAACTGCTACTAATTAAACGGTTTGTAGATTATGCAATGAATTAAAAGTATAATCGGAGTATTGGGGGCTGTAAGTGGGCTATTTACTACATCCAAGAAATATCCCCAAAATAAGTCTCACCCACCAGCTAATAATCCTAACCAGCCTAAGTACCAAAGAGATAAAAATAAAGGATAAAATTAGGGCTTTAGTATTGCGTTCTATCAGATGAACTTGGGAATGAATATCATTCGCGATTTAATCTAAAAATCTAAAATGCTTTGGTAAGGATTTCTGTTGGAAGTAAAGACCTTCCGTATAAAACTGTAAGACTGAAAATATATTTTATTCAACTGAATGCAAGAGGCAAGGCGAACGTATTGGAGAAACGGAAAGATAGTTTGCATTCTTGCTGAATAGTTATTTTCTTACTTTCCCCTCGCGTTAGTAAAGAGAACGGCTGACTTAGCATTATCCGAGAAGGACTTTTATTTATCTTGATTTGTCTGATTTAAACGCGGGATTCTTTCTGCATTCTCTTTTCTTTTTTTACTTTCATTCTTTCTACGTTTTACATTTTCAATTTGGTAATTATAACCCTAACTACGTATTTATAAACAATTTAGCTTTTATGTTTGTGACGGCTCACGCGTCCTTTCTGTAACATAACCTCTGTGTTCTTTGACGGCCAAGATTAATGACAAATCTTTTCCAACCCAAATCCAAGAAGTGAAACGCGAAAGTATTGATGCAAATAAGATAGCCTTTAAAAGGACAGAAGTTTTAGTAAGCGTGATGGCAATTTAGAGAAAGTTCAGTGTGAAAAAGGTAGAAGTGTAATTTGACGGCCTACCCAAGAATCACGGAAATATATCTAGCCAATACTATAAGGTACATACCATTGTACTCGAGCCAACTGAATATCTGAAGTTGATTGAAAATTCAAGGTAGGAAGATTATTTTCCGAATTCGAAATATTATTAGGCTTGAGAGTAGGCGGATAATATAATTATTTAGATAAGTGATCCAATTGCGCGATCTGTGTTAACTACGGCTACGTGTTTTGGTTTATTCTCACTTAATATAAGTTTGTTCGATATATAAGTAATTTAAGTTAGACTCTTAATAAAAGTCATATTAAGAATTCTAAAATGTCTCTTCATTTCGAGAATCCCACACCTCTAACTTACGCTGACCCACAACGATATGGTCGACAAAGATTGACCATATCACATGTTTACTGTATAATGAAAATATAAAATTTAAATGTATTGGAGTTTAAATCTAAGTAAAATGTACTCTTTCAGGGTTATATTTTAAAATTCGATTTAACTGGAGAATACCGTAAAAGAGTGTCAATATAAAACGAAAAAAAAAATTATTTTCGTACTTAATTTGAATAAATTAGTTTTGGAAAGCAAACTCGATATAAACTAATTTGATTCTGTTTTATTTTCCTCACGCATGTGAAATACATGATTATTCATATTCCACCCGCGGCCCGCGAGGGGTCGCAGCGCTGTAGTAATAAAAAAAGAACATATGAAAGAATACAGAAACAATTCCAGTTTTATTTACATACTTTACAGGTGTTCTATGTGTGAAACCTTGGTCACATCGCATACATCAATGACATAGTCCAGTTCCTACCACACTCTATTCAACATGGTAGCGCCAAAGTTAATGACAGGTAATGTTATTCTTTCATGCAGTTATGCTACATCACGAAACAAATAGGGTACGAAAACTTGGCTCATGTAAAAGACCAAGTATTCGGATAACAGCGTTCTTTAGGCAACGCTGCTAGTAGTACCATGTTGAGTAGAGTGTGGCAGGAACTGAACTATAGCATTGATATTATGCTGTATGACCAAAGGTTCACAAATGGAACACCAGTAAAACACGCAAATAAAACTTGAATTTTTTTTCTGTATTCTTCCACATGTTCTTTTTTGTTCTATTTGTCTTTTTTTCAATGCCTACTATTAATTCACTCTCTCCCTATATATATATATATATATATATATATATATATATCAGTGGCGCACACAAGGGGGAGGTCCTGGGGGTCCAGACCCCCAAGCCCTTGATTTTTTAATTTCTATTTTGTAGAAGTTCTCGTCCTTGGAGTTAAAATAGTCAGCAACTGCCTTAGAAACACTTTCAAAAGACTTGAATTTTTTTCCGTTAGATAATTTTGCAGATATCTGAACAGGTAATAATCAGATGGTGCAATGTGAGGTGAATATGGTGGGTGACCAAGGACTTCTCATCCTACCGTATTCAGTTTTTGTTGTGTCACCATTGCAGTATGCAGTCGAGCGTTACCGTGGTGGAACACTATTCCTTTTCTGGACGCTATTGTTGGCCCTTTTTCTTTGATAGCTGAATTCATTTTATCCAGTTGATTGCAGTAGAGATCCACGTTGATGGTTTTTCCATATTTCAGCAACTCGTAGTACACTGGACCTTTCCTGTCCCACCACAAAAAAAGCAGTACTTTTCGTTGATGGATACTTGGTTTTGCAACTGTTGCTGATGATGTTCCTGGTTTGCAGTAAGATTTTTTTCTCTTAATATTCTCGTAAAGAATCCACTTTTCCTCTCCAGTAATCAGCTTGTCCAAAAACGGCTCCCCATTGTGTCTAACCAGATGTGATGAACACATTCTTAAGCGATTCGACAAATTTTTTCCCGTTAATTCATGTGGAACCCAAACACTTCGCTTTAAAACAAACCCAAGAGATTTAATGTGATGTCCAACAATTGTATGATGAATGCCAAACTCTTCTGCAATTTCTTGACTTGTTAAATGTGGATTATTTTCCAACATGGATCGCAAAACATCATTATCGATCTTGGATGGTCATCCAGATCGATTACTTTCTTGAAGGCTCAGTTACCCGGAACGAAATTTGCTAAACCATCTTTGACAAGTATGAACATTTACAATATTTTTTCCAAATACCGGACATAAATTTTTACATGCAACCGATGCGTTGCTTCCTTTTTGGAATTCATACAAAATGCAGTGTCGTAAATGCACTTTATCTACTGGCATGTTTTTCACTTTAAATATTACAAGTAAATAATGAACGATAAAAAATGACTCTTTTTATATTATACAGCATCTAAAAAAACAAAAAAAAAAAAA